GAATGAAGGCGTCTAGGCCCTCCAGCATCAGCTGCGTGAACTCATCGTTGGTGAGTAGCGACGGTTTCCATTCCTCAGGGGCGTCGTCATCGTGGCCGCGCGCCGACATCTCGTGGTGCGCGCGCAAGAAGCCGATGGTGGAGCGCAGCACGGCCGACTTGTCCATCTTGCGGCCGGCGCCGCCCACCATCCGCGCCAGCTCGTTGACCAGCACATTGAACTGATCGCGGCGCTTCTTCTCGTTGGTGTTGCGCGAGTGTCGCTTGTTCTCGTCGCGCTCCTCCAGGTCGGAGCCGGACATGGTGGCCGGCGCGTCGTGCGCGGCGCAGCGGCTCCGGCCGCGCCCCTCCGTGCCCGGACGGCGCGCCGCCTCAGCCAGCGCCGGCCATCGTCCCGGCCGCGTGTCCCGACGCAGCACGCGCCACCTGCTACCGCCCGACGGCCGGGCCCAGCTTCACACGGCCGGGCCACCGAGCGGCTCGGCGGCCGTCCGTCAGAAGACGGGCCTCGGCCGGGTTACAGACACAGACACGCACTGCTCGCGGGGCCGGTCAGGCCGCGCCGCACTCCGCACGTCCCGTCTGCCAGTCCACGCGCACCGCACACAGTCTACCTAGCGGCTGCGGGCCGCACTAGCGAGGTCCGCGTTCACTTCCGTGCGCCCACCGACAGCGAGATGCGCTTCATCCAGCCCTGGTCCAGCGTCTCCAGCTGCTGCAGGAACTCGTTGGTCATCAGCTGGTGGCACTGGTCCACGCTCAGGCCCGAGCCCGTGCCTGCGGACAGAGCGTCATGCGTCACAGCGGGCCGGCGTCAGCCCAGCGAGACATACGACCAGCGGAGGGCCACCAAATATACATACAACCAGCGGAGGCCCAACAGCGAGACACACGATCAGCGGGGGGGGGGGGGGGGCACCAGAGTGACACAAGACCAGCGGAAGGCCACCAGCGAGACACGCGACAGGCGGAGGGCTACCAGCGAGACACGACCAGCCGAGGGCCACAAGTGAAACATACGACCAGCCGAGGGCCACCAGTGAGACATACGACCAGCCGAGGGCCGCCAGCGAGACACGACCAGCCGAGGGTCACCAGCGAGACACGTGACCAGACGAGGGCCACCAGCGAGACACGACCAGCCGAGGGCCACCAGCTAGACACGACCAGCCGAGGGTCACCAGCGAGACACGTGACCAGACGAGGGTCACCAGCGAGACACGTGACCAGACGAGGGCCACCAGCGAGACACAACCAGCCCAGGGCCATCAGCGAGACACGACCAGCCGAGGGCCACAAGTGAGACATACGACCAGCCGAGGGCCACCAGTGAGACATGCGACCAGCCGAGGGCCACCAGCGAGACATACGACCAGCCGAGGGCCACTAGTGAGACATACGACCAGCCGAGGGCCACCATCGAGACACGACCAGCCGAGGGTCACCAGCGAGACACGTGACCAGACGAGGGCCACCGCCCGGTCGGTGAGCTCGCTTGCACTGCGATGCGTTAGAGTTGCGTGAAAACAGCGTTATCGAACAAACACCAACTACACCGTCAAGAAACGACGAAATGAAATTAATGCTCCTGGATTGATCCATTACGCCCTGCACGGTAGCTGGCAGGGTCACCCGGCGACTGGTACACGAGGACTGGCATGACAAAATGGTGTGACAAAAGGTCTGGTACACTGGTACACGAGGACTGGCATGACAAAACTGTGTGACAAAAGGTCTGGTACACTGGTACACGAGGACTGGCATGACAAAACCGTGTGAGAAAAGTCTGCCGAATTCGCTGACCACAATCCTGAGGCGGCTAAAAACGTACAGCGTGGCGCAATGGCTGGCCTATGGTGACGGTCCGGCCAACATATGCAGGGTGCATACAGTTGAAATTCAATTCCACCTTAACCTTTCGCTGGCTGTCGCTGTTGGGCGTCAGAGGTCAAGAAGGCTCCCGAAAGATCAAAGGATTCCATTGAAATGTCACACTTGGAAATTGCCAGCATACAACAGAGGCATACACTCTAAGCTGTTGGTCCCAGACCGAGGCCTCACGTGATGTTCAATTTCATACTGACTGACGCGAATTAATAAATAAAAGGGGATCGTGTCTCTGTGAAAAGTGGACGTCACCAGATCAAATGCAAATATTCAAGGGTTGCAAAAACGACACCTTTGAAGAACACGTAGAATCGCACCCACGGAAACACCAATTAAATTTCTTGGCCCAGTCACCCCGCTGCGCCACGGTGACAACGCCACGGCGATTAACTTGCGAGTCCAAATCAACGCCAAAGTTAACGCCCCGCGTTTCTCTGGTTCTGCGGCTAGCGCCGCTTCGGGAAGGAGCTGCCAACGCGGGGAGACCCTCCACAACTGTCCACCATACTCAGTGCCGCCGGAGCTGAAAACGGCTGTAGAGGACCCTGCCTTCGCAGCATGCGAGACGACCCGCTACTAGCGCTCCTAGCGGCCAAGTTCGGTACTGATGCCCACCCGGCCGGCCGTAGCCAGCGCTGGCTATTATCAGACCGACTGACTTTCAAGTTCGTCCTTTCCTGAAACATTCGTTACATCACGCGATGCGCGAAGGCATGGTGAGTCCCAAGCCCCACGCATTTGGGAACAATGCCCATATTTTTATTGACAACATGTCTTACATGGCAACAACATGAATACATGTCTTTTTCTGATGGTAACGTTAGACAGCGATGACCTCCGACGTCCCCGGGATTTTTAAAAAAGAAGATCCACATGTTATCATATGCTATCATGTTTAGACGCTGTTGGGGTATTGCTGTGCCCAGATTAATGGAAACCGGTAAGGTGAGATTTCGAGAAAAAAGATGGGAGAGACTGCTTTCTCTCTCGCTCCCTCTCCCTCCCTCTCCTCTCCCTCTCCCTCTCCCCTCTCCCTCTCCTCTCCTCTCCCCTCTCCCTCTCCCTCTCTCCCTCTCCCTCTCCCTCTCCCTCTCCCTCTCCCTCTCCCTCTCCCTCTCCCTCTCCCTCTCCTCTCCTCTCCCTCTCCCTCTCCTCTCCTCCCTCTCCCTCTCCCTCTCCCTCTCCCTCTCCTCCTCTTCCCTCTCCCTCTCCCTCTCCCTCTCCCTCTCCCTCTCCCTCTCCCTCTCCTCTCCTCTCCCTCTCCCTCTCCCTCTCCCCCTCTCTCCTCTCTCTCTCTCTCCTCTCTCTCTCTCTCTCTCTCTCTCTCTCTCCTTCTCTCTCTCTCTCTCTCTCATCTCTCTCCTCTCTCTCTCTCTCTCTCTATCTCCTCTCTCTCTCTCTCTCCCTCTCTCTCTCTCTCTCCTCACATTCGACAGCATGGCACACAGTATGACGGCGTAGCCACCTTCAAAAGCCACGGCACAGGGTGAAGAGGTATGGCCACCAAATCCGGCTGGTGGCGACTGCTGGGAGCTCCTCAAGTACGCCTATGGCCAAGACCCAACTACTCAGCCCAAATCGTGACCAGGAATGTGATGTGCTGCAGCAGACGGAGCGGGCGCCCAGCAGCAGGTCACCATGGATACGTTCAATATGGTTGCATCTTCTGGCTCCACGGAAAATGGAGGACAGTCACGACGATGGAACGCCTAAAAGCATCATGGAAGTTTTGAACCAACTTCTGCATCGTGGCTAACCTGCTAAAAGAATAGCGATGTCGTAGCGGACAATTCTTTGACCAACTCACTCAGAACAATACCGCAGCATTACAGTGGCCATGCGTTTGCACATTCCTCGTCACTGAGATGCTGATTCAAACCGTAGATGACGCGACATCGGGGTTAGAATCGCAGCCAAGCCTACGCGTATGTCATAACAAAGATCCCGACCACGCCAATGACGTTCTTCTGCCCATCGCTTGCTCAACCGGCTGACCAGACATCCACGCTATCCAAACGGTTAAACTTTCGATCAAGATCAAAACGCATGGTCTGTCTGACACCCTGTAGGATGTGATTGTCTTACATACCCGCCCCGCTGTTCGAGATGCCTCTCTGTGCCATGTCATAGCTTCAAAATGGTAAAGCAACAAAACTAAAGACGTTTTGTGATACCACACCAAAGAAGATGGCGATTTCGTCGAACCGCATACGCCATCCATTTAGCGGAAGAATAATTCACAGATGCAGAGGTTCTTCATGCTGACATAAAGAGCCTCTGCAACCAAAAACCTTCGCCACTCTTGATCCGAATTCGGCCGCCAATAGCACAGGCTCGTCACTGAAGAACTGGGGTGACGGTGTGGGATGGGATAGCTCAGAGCTGACAGACACAACACATGAACGAGAAGTAGAGGTATGAGGGCCATGCTTTATTTCCATGCCAGAATGGCAGCTTATCACCGATCGATGCTTAGATGGTCAGCAAAAACAGCGCATTTGAAACCTGATGCGTGATATACTGTGTTCACTTCGTAGATAAAGAGAGGCATAAGCATAACCATTTAGCTAAAGCATACCAAAGAGCGGACCCCATTGGGGGAGGGGAGTCCAGGCACCCGTTTGGTGCCCGTAACTTAAAACCACACTGGGTAATCTTCGATAAAAACAGAACAATAACAGTGCGCCAGTGTTCAAGACGCAATTTTTCAGTCAGATATTGCATTTATAATACCTACAAGTATAAAGCACATTAATATGGCACTTCAGTTTGCTTTGATTATTCATAAGATCCATGGGGGAAGGAATGTGAACAGTTGTGAATGGTCTCCGATACCACTAACGTACGAAAATGCATACACATCACATCGAGAGGTGACCATTTGCTTGAAGCAGGCTTTACCAAAGGAAGAAATATCATCAATAAGTGGACCCACATATACAGAATTCCAATATGCAATTTAGGCACACCCCTCACAAAAAGTCGTCTGACATTTCAACTTCTTTCACTACCAAAAAATCGCTTTCATACATATTCCCCGCGTCAACGCCAAGCCTGCCTCGGAAGAAGTGGTTCTTGGCACTGACACGGCAAAGTCAGACGCATAGCAACACTGTAATGCCACACGCTATGCTCTTTCTGTTCAGAGGCCAGTGTGGCGGTAGCCTGCTGGCCGGATGTGGCGGCTGCCACGGCGTAGTTGCCCCGCGGTTCGTCGCAATTTACGCCGGCAGTCCCGTCACGACGGCAGCATCTGAACATGAAGCTGCACTTTTGCCTCATTACATCCCACGTACCCTTTATTTTATCGTGTCTGTTACCGTATCACGTTTGCAAGCATATTATGGTACATTGCGGACATAAGGGCGAAACCTTTAGCCTTCATATGAATACCATCACCTTACTAAAACTGAAGTCGCGACACGTTTGGAAACGGCTTCCCAATCCACTCCAGCCCGTACGTACTGAACGGTGCCCGGTACTCGTAGTTTCTTGACAAGAGCAGAGATTCATACCACCTGTTATAGCACATGGGTCGGGACGGCCCGTTTGGCGACCGAGAGCGCTTCTCGTCCGACCCTTGCACAGCAAACCGGGCCCATCGGCGGTCCCCGGCGGCAGCGCTGACCAGAGCTCAGGCCGGAAACTGATCCACCACTCTCCATGTGCATAGCTTCTCCTTCTTTCCTGTGCTAGTTTCACTGAAGAATCAATGAAAACACATTCTCCACATAATGTAGAACCTATTTTCACTAGCCTTTCAAAGGTCTAAAAAGGAAACAAATCAGTGCCACAGGACCGATATAAGTCGGTTCCTGGACTGGGCTCGGCAAAACAATACGCGCCACACGTCGCATGTCCGTCCTAACGCGCACTGCCGTCGCACGCAG